CTGTTTAACTCCAAAGACTTGGTCTCTGTGTTTAGCAGAACGTGTCTTGTGAGTTAACAAAGGGCATATTGCCTTTGCTTCTCTGAGGCTAATCTGACAGAACCCCTACCAGAACCCCATCCGCTGTCAGTCTGTTCTGCCAACAGAACAGGTTATTCTGTTAAATCTGGTAATTAACTTGAAAAAGTTAAAAACCAATACAGTCTATTCACCCTCCCCGCCTCTAGATTGTATCCGGTACAACCGGGACCAACAGTGGTATTCTGGTAGGGGGTTCTATCCGGTTAGCCTCTAAGAGATCCAAAGACAATAAGCCTGGAAGTACAAATATATGTTGATGATGTTATATTTGGAAGTACTAATGCAGAGTTATGTAAGAAATTTTCTCAAGTGATGCAGAGTCAATTTGAAATGAGTATGATGGGAGAACTGAGCTACTTCCTAGGACTACAAGTCAAACAAGTTCCAGAAGGAATCTTTATCAATCAAAGGAAGTACACAAGAGACCTGATCAGGAAATTTGGAGTAGAAGGCAAATCCTCAGTGAAGATTCCCATGAACACTTCTCAAGGAATTGGTCCGGATGATGAAGGCAAAGATGTTGATGCAAACAGACCAGACATAGCATTCTCTGTTGGAATCTGTGCCAGATACCAATCAAAGCCCAAAAAGAGACATCTTAGTGCTGCAAAGAGAATCATCAGATATATCAAAGGAAATCCAAATGCAGGCCTATGGTATCCAAAGGGAGGTAACTTTGAACTAATCGGTTACTCTGACTCAGATTTTGCAGGTTGCAGATTGGACAGGAAGAGCACCTCTGGTCAGTGTCAATTACTAGGAGGAAGGCTTGTTTCCTGGTTTAGCAAGAAGAAGAATTCAATCTCAACCAGTACAGCAGAAGCTGAATACATTGCAGCTGGGAGTTGTTGTGCTCAGCTACTCTGGATGAAGCAACAACTAAAGGATTATGACATTCAAGCAAAGGAGATCAAGTTGCTATGTGACAACACCAGTGTCATTGCCATCACTCAGAATCCAGTTCTTCACTCCAGGACAAAGCATATTGAGATCATACATCACTTCATCAGAGATCACGTTGAATAGAAGCACATATGCATGGAGCATGTGTCAACAGAAGACCAGCTTGCAGATATTCTGACAAAGCCTTTGCCTGAGGCTAGGTTCAACAAACTGAGAGAGAAATTGGGAATGATGGATGAAATTCCAAGAGAAAGTTGAAAAGGAAGAACTTCTGTTGCAGACTCTCTACTAACAGAATACATGTTGCAGAACCCCTTCTGTTCTCTATCCTGAACAGAGAACCTCCGTTCCTGACAGAACATCTCAGCAACAGAAACCCTCCCCTTACCTTCAGAAACTCTTACTTTTAACAGAAGGTTGAGGACTTAGAAATATTTTGAGAAAACCGGGTGACCTAGTAACTTAATAAAGGTCTTTTACCCTTAAAACGGTATTTTAGCCGCAAAATATTTACTGCGCCCCTTTTTCATTTATTGGTACCTCGGAACCGCCAATAATCTCAAACGTCCACTAACCCAAACCCATATATTCCATTTCCTCAAACCTAAACCGTTACTGCTCTCATTACTCTCAAATTCTCATACCTCCATAGCTCTCAAGCTCTCAGAAACGTTTTCCTGCTCTAATGGCTTTCATCAACATCAACGACCTCACCGAAGAAGAAATCAATACCTTGGTCGCTAACATCTATACTGGGATGAATTGCGAAATTTCCTCACTCCCTGAACTAGCAGCAAACCAAGAAACGATGATGAAAATCATCAGGGGTATGGAGGAATCACAGCTCAGCAAGGTTGTATGTTATCATTTCGATTCCTACAGCACAAAGGACGTGCCAGAGTTCTATCTCAATGCCACATATGAAGGGGAGACTATCAAATCTCATGTCCATGGTGATGACATCATCCTCACTCCTGAAACTGTCAACACCCTATTTGGCGTAGTGGAGGATCCCCAAGAAGAAGACACTAAAGGCTTCATAGCCCTAGACAGTGTCAAGGTCACTGTTGATAACTTCGTCCAACTTTACTGCAGACCTGAAGTGGATGGAGTTCCCAAATTATACATGAAGAAGAATCTACTTCAAAGTGACTATGACAAGCTGGTCAACATCTTCCATAGGTGTGTCTGGAGCAAGAGCACCTCTACTGACGATATGACAGTTATCAATGCAAAAGCTGTTTGTAAGGAATATTTGTATTTAGATTTTGATGATGCTAGATTAATTAGGACTTTAGAGTACCCTTTTTCAGACTTAATGTATTAGAATTTTCATTTGTAAAGTTCTTAGTTTAATCGACTTGGCAGAATGCCTTCAGAGCAGAAGACCTTCTGAGCAGAAGGGCTCCAAGAGCAGAAGACCCTCGTAAGGCATTATTGAAACAGAGGACCTTTGGTTCTCTGCTCCAGAACAGAAGACCTCAGGGTCTCTGTTAGCCTTTACTCTGACAAAAACCCTTCTGGGTCTTTGTTGGATATATTCTCAACAGAAGTGCTCCAGACCTCCTCTGTTCAACTCTCAGTTAAAGACACCAGAAGATCTGACACTTAGAAGAATTCCACAGAATCGGGAAGTCAACTAAAAGATTCCTTCAACGGCTAGGAGTATTGAACGGAAAAGCTACAGTACGCGCATTAAATGCTCATTTAATGCACCCCATGCTCCGTAGAGTAATTGCAGATGATTGGCCGCAATGTCAGGAATACTTTATCCCAAAATAGTAACCCGCCAACTTTACCGGGCTCTACTGGTCAAGTCAACTGATCGCTCATTTAATGCAGTTGTCCTCCTACTCCTCCAACGGGAAGACAACCTCAGTATAAAAGATACACTACGAAGAACAACCGGATAACTTTGCAACTTTTGCTAACCATTGCTACAACTCTTCATACAAGAAATTCAAACGCCTAAAAGCAAAAAGCCTCCTTGAGATTAACACTTCATCATCCTCTACAAGAGAAGGCAGAAGTTGGAAAAATACTTTTTCCAACTCAAGCAAAGTTCCAAGTGTTCTTCAACTCTTCAAGCTCATCACATACAAATCCTTTGTAACGAAGCTAGTTGGAGGAACCCTTGTGTTAACAGAAACTCTTCTTGCTACAAGAAGGACGTCCAAGTAACTGGAGTCGTGAAGTGGTGATACTTCCAGGAAGCTCAGTGAAAGGACCAGTCTTAAAGGAAGCCAGGCAGTGCATCCCAGGAGACATCTAGGCTTGAAGAAGACGTGGAGAGCTTCTTAAGTGCTAGGACTAAGGCATTGTAAAAGGTCGTTTTTACAAGCTTAGTGGAACAGTGGATTAGAGGAACGAGTTGTTCCTTGAACCACTATAAAAATCTCTGGTGTCATTTACTTACTGCTTTAATATTTGCTCTTAGATAGAAATGTCTAACTCCTCAGACTTGGTATATGTGTTCAGCAAAACTTGTCCTACGAGTTAACAGAAGGCCTACTGCCTTTGCTTCTCTGAGGCTAAATCAACAGAACCCCCTACCAGAACCCCATCCGCTGCCAGTCTGTTCTGTCAACAGAACAGACTATTCTGTAAAATCTGGTACTTAGTTTAAAAAACTAAAAACCAATACAGTCTATTCACCCCCCCCCCCTCTAGACTGTATCCAGTACAACCGGGACCAACAAGTGGTATCAGAACCTCCTTGTTCTAATAATCTCTTAGGTTATTTGCTGAACAAAGATCCACTTGTTTTTCTGTTTGACCTCATTTCTATCTCATATAATGGATCACTCCTTGTCCAAGAATCTTATGTTCTCAGATCTTAAGTTTGATGACTGGAGGATCCGGATGAAAGCACATCTCTGTGCCCTGCATGATGAGATGTGGGAAGTTCTTGATATTGGCCCTTTCACAAGCTTCCAGAAGGTCAATCCTGAGCATGCTATTGACAACACCAGACCCCAGATGATCAGTAAAGCCAAGTCAGAATGGACCACTGAAGAGAGAAGAAAGTACAACCTGGACAATATTGCTAAGGACATCCTCTACAAGTCCATTGATTATAGGTACTTCAACAGAATAAAGAAGTGCAAAACTGCAAAGGAAATCTGGGATACTCTTGGGCTCATTGGAGCTGGTGATGAGCAAGAGAAGGACAACAAACTGACTATAACCAACAAGAAGTTTGATGACTTCAAACTTCTCCCTGGTGAAAGCATCTCCAAGATGTATGACAGGCTCCTCACTCTCACTGGAGAGATCTCTGAGCTTGGCAAGGAAATCACCACCAAGGAGATCAACCTGAAGGTGTTGAGGGGACTGCCCTCAGCATGGAAGATGAAGGTGGTTGCTTGTGACACTCCAAAAATTTAAAAAAAAAAATAAAATAAAAATAATTTTTAGCCAGATAAATCATAAAATATTGCGGAAGTGACATTTTAATTATTAATTGAGTCAGACAAAAATTCAACAGTTGTAACATTCTAATCAGATAAAAATTTCAAAATTTATGACGTCTTAGTCAGATAAAAAGATTTCAGTAATAGGAACAACATTTTATGAAACAAGTGAACCAGACAGAAAATTAACAATTGTGACATTTTTAGTCAGATAAAAATGGTCCAATAAAAGAAGTAATATTTTATATTAAGTACCAATTATACATATGACATAAGAAGTAAAAGTTATATTTTATTTTTACAAAACACAATTTCCATTTTTACTCCTAAATATATAATACTATACGTATAATACCGTACGCTAAAAATTAACAAAGAAGAACAAGATTTTCTTTTACGCATCAGTTATAACTTACAAAGGAAAATTTTTTTTAAAAAAATTAAATTTTATAACGGAGGAAATCTTCTAACGCATGTAATGTTCAAAAAGAAAAAAAAAATCTTAGGAGCAGGATTTTAGGATCTGAATCAGAAGCTTTACACCCAGCCATCTCTATAAATAGCAGAAGAGTTGCCTGGCCTTTTCATCCCAAAATTTCCGTCGGAAAATGCAAATATACATATATATATATCTGAATTTTTCCAACCCGTCGCTAGACTCAAAACCGAGCCCAGAAAACGCTTCCCAGACCTTCCCCTTCGTGAGAGGAATCCAACGGAGGAAGAATCATTGAAAACGATCGTGAAACGAGGGAGAAAACGCTCGCCGGAGTTTTCGCCGGAAAACTTTCCCGACAGAAAACGGAAGAGCAGGAGCCGCCGTCGCCGCCGCCAACCCTTCACCGACCTTCGCCGTCCCGAGAGGAGTGCACCGCTACCCCGTTGGCCGTTTCCGACGAGGTAAAACCTCTTCCCTATTTTCTTCTTCTCTTCCCCGTTTTTCCGGCGAGCTGCTGGAGAAGACAACCCAGCCAAGGGTCTGTCTTGGGCCTGATCTTTGGGCCAGAAAAATTAAATTTGGGCCAGTTCGGCCCAGTTGCAATAAAAATTAAAAATAAAATAGTAAATGAAATAAATAAAATCTGGAAAAATATAAATTAAATACCTGGTGTAATTATACATGTTCGGACCAACCAGAATTGAAAAATAATATTTTTAGCTCTTTTTAATTGATTTAATGGTAATTGGGCCAATTTGTACACAATTAGTAAATAAATAAGTAAATGGCGAAATTAATTATGAAATAAATAATGGAGCAAATTAGGATAAATATAAGACTAACTAAGACATTATGGACCATTTATAATTAATAAAAATTAATATTAGTATATTTAATTGTGAATGGACCGGTTATTTGATATTCGAAAATAAATGAATAATTAAGGGAAATGAGTTATAAAATAAATATTTGGACAACCTAAGCCAAATATAGAACCAAAAATTTAGTTATGGACGGTTATTAATTTATAAAGTCGACTCTTGGCTATTTTATTAAATTGGACCATATAAAGCTAATTAAGTAATTAAATAATAAATTTTTATTATCGATGAAATGAATTTATAGTTTAATATTCATTAAAGAATATTATATTAAAATAATTATTTCGACTTGGTATCATAATTAGATTAAATAAATTGGTAGATTTTGTTTTCACTAATTATTGGACTAATTAAGGTAGAGTAATATAAAATTTGCATAATGTCGGACTTTAAAATATTAAGTGTTTAAGTAATTAATAAAATCAGAATATATTAGTTAATTCGGATTTATTAATGCTAATAATGTTAATATAAACTAATTTCGATATTTGATTAATTAGATTAAAAATAATTCGGATATAATATTAAGACATACCAAATGCTTTAGGAGTTGAGTAAATAAAAAGATGATTATTAAATTAGAAATTTGATATTGTAATTAATTATATTCGTATGTTTTAGAATTTAAGTATTTTGATTAACGACGGAATTAATAAGGTAATTTAATTAATAAGAAGTGATTAACGCGGATAATAAAATAATTGAATTAGTGAATTCAAAAAATAAAATAAAAGGTAAAAATCGAGTAAAATAATTATTTAAGAGTAAGTGACTAATTATATCATCTTAATTAAAAAGGTGATTATTTAGAGACCGGAGTAGAAGAAGAGAATTAGGAGCATCCGGACTAGAGGTAAGTTTCTCTGCCAATCTAAAATTGTTTCCTCGTATTATATGCTTATTATGCATTATGTGAATAAGTGTGAATTGTTGAATTTTGTCTATGAGAATTGTGAAGAGATATTATGTATATGGTTGTTGAGAAATATAAGTTAAGTACTTTTGGGGTATTAAATATTTTTAAATACCTTCAACACTTTTTAGAGAAATTAAGAAGTATTTTTGAAGTATTGTTAAGCGAAGATAAAATTTACATTTTTATAAGAAGTGAGCATCTCGGGAGTAATCCGGGGTGTCGGTTTTCCACATCCGAATAAATGTGGATGGTGATTAGGTTTGCTACTACTAAGAAGTACAGTTTGAGTTTAAAGTGATATTTGGATCGATGATCCCTTTTAAGAAGAAGTTATGGTAGTAGTAATCCCTAATCATTCAAAATATCTTATTCAGGGGTAGTTGGTAGACTGAGTCCCGACTACTCGTTACGACTTACTACTCGGGGGGCTTGGAATCCCTTTTAGGGGGTGTGCACACTTAAGGTAGTCGTTTCGTTTCCAACAGAGCAGTTGTGGTACCGGCACTTGTTCGGGGTGGCCGTCCGTAACCACGGTCCACCGGGCTCTACCGAAAGGTTGAGCACCGCCCTTCTAAATTACTAGTAAGTTAGAGAAGAAGTTATTTTTGAGGAAATCAAAGAGAAGAGTTATTATGAAGTTTTAAAGAGAAGTCGAGGATTTTTGTAAAGAAGTAGTTTTGAGAAAAATCAAAGTGAAAAGAATTTCGATGGTGTGAGTATTTTTATATATTATTATATAAAAATCTATTTTAGTCAAACATGATTATTTTACGGGGTTGGGTAGTACTTACTTAGCTCTAAAGCTAATTTTTGTTTTCTTTTCCTTGTTTTGTTTCTGCACTTTATTTGTGCAGGTGAGGATGATTTTGTCGATTGATGATTGCTTGCATGGCCCGAGAGCGAATTAGAAGTCGCCTTAGTTATACTAGTGATGAAATAAACAATTACTTTACAAATACTTTATTTTTATTAAATTAGTTGTTATGTTTTAGTTGCCTGTGCATCCGGTTGAGAGATGACCGGATGTGGCGGTAACACCCATTTCCCCTATTAAGACTTCCGCTGTATTTCTTTAACTCTTTGATGAATAAATAAAAGTTTTATTTCAATTATGTCAACGTTTTGGGTGGGAAATTTGGGGGTGTTACAAATTGGTATCAAAGCCTTTGGTTTTCCCGAAAGGACTAGAACACGAGGTAATAGGTCGTAGGGAGAAATTCTGTCACAAAGACGATAACAGTCTAAGCTGGTTGGTGCATAATTGAGTCTTTGCGCTCGTCCAACTAACTGAGAATTTCTTCTTGTGCTGAAACTTCGTTGTTCGAAATCATTGACGAAAACTATGGGTTTGATGCGGGATTTTCAAAAATGTTTTCCTAAAATTAGGAGAATGAATATACTAGGAAAGAGGCCTTTTAGGAACGCGGTGAGAGGGAGAAACCTTGCGAAGTTATTGAGTTATGAAATGCATGGGATTCATGCCTCTGTGAAGTATGTAAAATATTTGATACACTATGTGTACTATTTGTTCTAAGAATCTGAAGTTAGTAGAGAATTTGTATAGAATCCTTATGTATGCATTAATACTTAGTACGGGCTTTTCTTTATTAAGAAACATGCCGCCAAGAAGAAACCCCCATGCGACCCCAACTGTTGAGGAGTTGGCTCAAACTATTCAGCAGATGGCGCAACACATCGGAGCAGCTCAAACCCATAACCAAGGGGTTGACTATGCAGCGCGCGTAGCCGGAAGGAACCCCCCAAAATACCTGGGGGAGGAGGATCATCTGATTCTAGAAGACTGGATCCGAACCTTCGACAAGCTCTTTGATTCGCTCAACTGCCCGTTAGAGCAGCGGGTAAACATAGCGGTGTACTACTTGCACCAAGAGGCGGATCATTGGTGGGCTGCCACCGGGACAACTCTGCTCGAGCAACCGGAATTTTGTTGGGAAGACTTCAAGATAGCCCTACGCGACCGTTTCTATCCAGACCATGTGAAAGAGGCAAACTATGATGAGTTTGTCAACTTCAAGCAAGGAGATTTAACCGTCCAAGAGTACCACACGAAGTTTGTCCAACTGGCCCGCTACGCCAAAGAGCTGGTATCCACTGAGGCCAGCATGACCCGAAGGTTTGTGAATGGGCTGAACTTTGGCGCCCAAAAGTTCGTAACCTTGGCAGAGCCGCGGAACATGAATGAGGCGTACCGGAAGGCCGGGAGGTACTACATGGTACATCAGAAGGAGAGGGAGGCGCAGAAGAGAGACCGGAAGATTGCCGAGGTAGAACAGCAACAAAAGAAGGCCCGAACTGACCGCCCAGAGCCAAGACAAAACAACCAAAACGGTAGAACCTTCCAAGGCCAGGGTCAGGGAAGGAATCAGCCCGCTCAGGTACGACACTACAAATGCAAACTGTGCCCAAATAACCATCCCGGGAAGGATTGTGCGGGAAATGCGGTGAGATGTTACAACTGTAATCTCATGGGGCATCGGGCATATGAGTGCCGGAAACCTCCGAGCCAGGGTCAAGGCCAAGGGAACAACCAAACTGGGGGCGGGAATAATCACGCTAACATCAACCGTGGTAATCCCGGTAATCGCCCAGCGGAGGCTAACCGAAACCAAGGCCCGGGAGGGCAAAACAACACTCAAGGCCGCATCTACGTCATGAACCAGGCACAAGCAAATGCACACGATGTGGTGACAGGTACCTTTCTTGTAAACTCCAAACCTGCTTATGTGCTGTTTGATTCAGGTGCGTCCCACAGCTTCATAGCATCAAAATTCGTGGAAAGGACGAAGCTAGAACCTACCACTAAGCTTAGTCTTAACGTAAAAACGGCCTCCAACCAAGTGGTGGCATGTGGGAGTGTTTTCTCTAACGTTCCCATAGTCATATCCGATACCGAACTACCCGGAGATCTAATCCAATTTGACCTGGAGGATATCGACGTGGTGTTGGGTATGGACTGGCTAGGGAAATATAAAGCCAAAATCCTATGCGACGAGCAGAAAGTGGCCTTAAGAGGACCCAATAAAAAACGTGTATCCTACAAAGCAGTTACATCTAAACCGGGAGTGAAGCTAGCAACCATGCAACAAGTCAAACGATATGCCCGAAAGGGGTATGAAGTTTACTTGTGCAGGATCAAAGACTTGAACTCCGAGGACCCGACCATTGACCAAATCCCAGTGGTCAATGAGTTTCCGGATGTATTCCCAGAAGAGATTCCAGGTATGCCACCGGAGAGGGAAGTCGAGTTTTCAATCGACCTTCTGCCGGGCACCGCACCCATCTCAAAGGCACCATACCGAATGGCACCGAAGGAGATGCAAGAACTGAAAGAACAACTTGAAGAATTATTGGAGAAAGGCTACATCAAACCGAGTATCTCACCTTGGGGTGCTCCGGTCTTGTTTGTGAAGAAGAAGGATGGGAGTCTGAGACTCTGCATTGACTATAGGGAGCTGAACAAGGCGACCATCAAGAACAAATACATGCTGCCTCGCATTGATGACCTCTTTGATCAACTGAGGGGAGCTAGCACGTTTTCCAAAGTTGATTTAAGATCCGGGTACCATCAAGTGAGGATTTCTGAGAAAGATATCCCGAAGACGGCCTTTCGAACGAGGTACGGACACTATGAGTTCACCGTAAT